GAACTGAGAGTGCTTTCTCTTCACCAAAACAGCTGGTAAGGAAAGTTTGTCCTCTTTGGGGGCTCTCAGACTAACACTCTCTTGTGTATCTACCAGATGCTGGCAACCCAGTCTACTTCTATGAATTCCAGCATCGGCCGAGCGAAACGGAAGGTGTTTTACCAGACTTTGTAAAAGCAGATCATGGAGTTGAGATCGCTTTTGTCTTTGGAAAGCCCTTCTTAGCTGGTGATGTATCCACGCTTGCTGAAGTATCCCTTTTAAAGCATCCTTATTACCCATTTTACTGACTGGAGGGCTTTAGAATAGGCTTTCTCTCTCACAAGCATTGCAATGAACATAATAATTTTCTGTCTTTAGTAGCAGATACCTCTAATGCAATGAGTCATCTGCAGCTCTCTCCTTGAGAGCAACAGGTAGAACTGGCCACAGCCTGTTGGCATTGATGGAGCTGCTACTGATTATCCAGTTTCTAATGCTGCCGTTTCCTCTCTCACTTTGCAGGACACGGTACAGAAGAAGAACATAAACTTAGCAGAACTGTTATGAAATACTGGGCTAACTTTGCTAGAAATGGGTGAGAATCTAATGCTATTTACAGCTCAAGTTTGGTCTGTGCTGCCTGAGACAAATTTATGTGACTGAAGCAGTGCTTAATGTGGTGGTTCCTAGAAATCTGCCACAATTTAAGATAAATATTGAAGGAAATTATTTCTCTTTCTAACGTCTTTTAAATGTCAGAAGACTAACACAAGCTCAGATTATGTGATTGTGGGCAGTGAGAGGCCAATGGAAAGGTAACTTGTCCTTCTGTTATTTCCAGAAATCCCAATGGAGAAGGCTTGGTCCATTGGCCTCAGTATGATCTGGATGAGAAATACCTGGAGATAGACCTGAAGCAAAAGGCAGCCCAGAAACTGAAAGAAGGCAAAATGAAGGTTTGGACACATCTCGTGAAAAAAATGATGAGTGAAAGGAGAGAACACACAGATTTGTAAGAGCTGCAGAGGGTACAGTTTGCTGTGAAGACCCAAAGTCAAACAAAACCAGTTTGTCAGGATTCAG